TCAGTACCGCTATTATAAAACTGGTGTTCTTCTGCTAAACTGGTTCCTTCTGGTCAGCATGGGTGACACTGTATTTTGTGGCAGCTGCAGCTGCTACATCAACTTCAAGAGCAGAACATGAGAAGTGGGAAAATACTTTAGCTTCCTATGCAAACAATATCTCCAAGTTCATATTTAAATTTTTTCAGACACTACTTTTTCATTCTTGACTTTCTGAGCACTTCTAGAACCATTTTCAGGTTAGCTGTTTCACTGCCAAAGAAAATGGTTAGTTATAAATTAATGATTGAAATGTGTAAGATGATCAGCAAGCCTCTTTGGCATCAAATCTATTTTGTAGAAGACTATTATTCTGAATTCATTTTTACATGCTTTTATGTAATAAAGAATAAAAGGCAATGGAGGAAACAGTGTATGTATGTGGTAGAAGCTTGTTGGCAAGGATAGGGAGGTATGCAGAGGTACAGTGAATGATGTTGATGTAAACAAGTTTTAGCCATGTTCCCTTTTCTTTCTCTGATCTCATGCCTTTAATTTCTTTGGCTTACTATTTCTTACCCCAAAATGGAGCAGGATAATGGGTATGTAGCAATGCATTTTCATTTAATGGTGATTGACTCTCTATTTGGCAATCTAAGTTATTTCAAAATTCGAATACTGAAGTGGAATTAACAATTAAAATAAATATTTTTTTTAAAAAGAAAGTTCCTTTCCCCTTTTACTGTTTAAAGTGAGATGATCCTTTGTATACTGGAAGACAGGAAATTAATCATTGAAACCCTTCAGAGTTGCATATAAACATTGATTTATGTAAGTATTACTGCTACTTTTAAGGAGCAGCATGACAGGCTGTCAGTAGTTCACAGAATAAGAGGGCAATAAGCCTGCTTCTAAGGGATTTTCACTCTAAATGAACCAACCTTCCTTCTCTTTCTCAGACCATTTTTTTTTTTTTTCACTGACCTTGTTCAAAAGATGCAAAGAGATGGACAAACCACTAGGAAGTTCACTTCATCCACTGAGTGTTAAGCAGTTTCCCTCTTGAGCTCAAAAGAAAATGAAATCTAATAAAGGTAGGCGGAAGAATTCAGAGACAGCACATTTGCAGCAAAGCTTGGAAAGGCTTCAAGCCCCCAGCTGGGACTATAAGCGGAAGGACATGGAACCTTTAAGCTGTGCAAGGGCCGCATTGACAGTTGAGCACAGAATCTATCAACCTAATAATGGGATGGAATCGTAAGACATCTGCAGTAGCAATGCCTTTGTCTCTACCAGTTTGTGCTACTAGGAACAATTAGCAAGGGCCTGGGGTGCAAAGGGACAGGAAGACTAGTTTTTGCAAGCCTGCCAATAAAGGCAATACATGTCAAGATTTATAGTTTCCCAAGGTTGGGACAGCATTGCCACCCAGCAACAGGGATATCTCATAGGTATTGTGCTGTCGCTGCAGTGGACAGTTCGTGGAGTGTGGTCTTTTCCAAGTTGCAAATATTCACATATATGATCAAAGGAAAAAGAACACTTGGGATCAGCATATCTTTCCTGCTAATCACCCTACCTTACTCTTGGGGAACCATTGCCCTGTCTGGAGAATTTCATTTCAGCTTTGTTTCTAACTTATTTTAAAAATATGATAGAATCTTGAACATTTGATTTAATTCTTGTTCTCAGAAATAGCAATTTTATATGGAATAGTAAGTCCCACGTTTTAATTCTACTTTAAATTTAAAACACTTGCTATCATTATGCTGAATTTCTGTGGTACTGAAAGAACTATAAACTTATTTCTCATATTTAAAACCTAATGAATGCAATACCCAGCTTGTCCTTTGCACAATTTGAAGCAATAGTGTTTGATTCTAAAAGATGTCCCCCAGTCACGTTTTGGGGTTTCATTTTTGGCCAGAAGCTCCACAAAGTAATAATTCTAACCCATTAGAGAAGGAATTGTGAGAGGTCAGCCTGAGCAGTTCCTGCTCCTAGTCTGATCAGAAATAAAGGTAACCAGAATGGTTTTAGAGAAGTGAGATCAGAGATTGTGATCATCTGCATTATATTGATTTGGTAAGGAACCAAATCAGTAAGAGAATAGATTCTTCATATAATAAACTGTAGTTGGATAGTTTGTAGTTCAATGTGTCATTCTAACCCCCAAAACTGGATTAGCTAAACCATGGTTAATTATAGGCATGCATCTTATGTAAACACAGCCTGAGAGAGTGCTGTGGTAAACCAAACATTGCCATTTATAAACCATAGCTTATTACTTGCTGTGCTGTGTTAACTCAACCACTATCTTGGCATATCATTCTAATCCCTTTAAACCTAGCCTCTCTTAACTAAGCCTCTTGTTATTCTGATTGGTGTGCACTAGTAGAAGGGTGACAATATGATTACAAATGCTTCTGAACGATTGCATTATTTTATTGTGTAACTTTTTCAAACACCTTAACAAATGTTCAGTTTAAAACTAGCGTATATTCTTCAGAACATTCTGGAAAGTTTACATCATAAAGAAGTTAAAAATTTGCAGTAAATGTGACTCAGACCATCAATCCATTTTACTCAGTCCAGTTGTTGCTTATCATTATTGGTTTTATTAAGTTTTTAGGTTAGATTTTTTTCTCCCTACAATCCTATAAAGAATTACATTTTAACAGATCTTTGAGATATACATATTATGACTGTGCAGTGCCTTGGATTAAAAGCAAAAATGTGCTTTACAGTGGGCAGGAGTACAAACATCATGCCTCTCTGAACTCCTTAAACCAAACACTTTTTTTCCTGAGATTGCACTGCAGACACAGCTGCTTTAAAGAGTTGGAGGCAGGCATTCTCTGAAGCAACTTTGAATCTGAAGCACTGTACAGCAGCTCTTTATATATGACAGTGGTCAGTGACTTTTTCATCCCTGTGTGCATTTCTTGGCACCATGTTTTTTTTCCTGAGAAGTTGGAATGATTAAAAAGAAAAGCACATAAGAAGGATCAGGGAAGAGAAAAACTGAGAGACTGAGGTCATTTAACCTGGAGAAAAGAAGTCTAAGGGGAATAGGACAGTACTTTAGAAGTCCCCTGTTCTCTATTGTTCCAGTCTGCCAGACTAATCCAAGAAAATTATCCCAAGGGAGTGCTGTGGTAAACCAAATATTGCAATTTATAAATGATAGTTTATGATTTACTATGGTGCAAACCACTTCTGAAAATCTTGCCAAGAACATTGCAGGGACTGGTCCAGGCAGTTGCCAAGAGTCAATACTGACTTAACAGCATGAATGAATGAATAGCTGCATTAACTAACTCATGTTTTATTGAATAAGCATTTGGAGAATGCACATTTGGGGAATGTACTAAATTGGAGAACATTGCTTTAATAACAGTATTTTATTTATTTATTTATTTATTTATTTATTTATTCAGCTTGTATGCCACCCATCTCCCCCATGGGTGACTCTGGGCGGCTCACAATAAAAAAAGAAGAAATACAATTCTCTCCAAGATGGCTAAAAACTATAGATAATTAAAAAACATATTAAAAATACCCTAAAAAACCT